ATTTAAAGTTATATTCTTAGATTAAAAAAAAAAATAGAAAATGACCCAAATGAACTATGGATTATTATTATTATTATTTATGAGAAATGTAGACAAGTAGCAAATAACAAAAAATAAAAATTAATTCAAAAAGCTATTTCACAACTTATTTAACAGATACTACTCAACAATTTAAATCTATAATCCAACAGTTACACCAAACAGATTAACAGTTTCTGATTAAAGTCATAATTTATATTCTGTTAAGTTATAATCTATAATCTATTTTAAAAGTTACACCAAACAGGGCCGCTCTCTTTCTACGTCATGTGATTTGAGAGTTATATTATGAACATAGCTTCGCTTCAGTCTGTGATCGGATCGGAAGGTATTGTTGGGCCTGTGGAGTCCATCAAGGGTCCCGTTTTAATAATTTGAACCGTTGAATGTGTAAAATTCGTCGAGTATTTTATGTCTATAAAAAATCATGCTGATCGGATATCGATAGTTACGTGATCAAATCAGTTTTGAATAAACAAAATAGGCGGTGAAAAAATAAACGGTTGACAGAAATTTCATCCGCCAATGAGATAGCTATCGATATCTGATCAATGTGATTTTTTAAAGATATATAGTCGACGAGTTCTATATATTGAACGGTTTGGATTATCAAAACGAAACTCGTCGTAGGCCTCTACAGACCCAATAACATTCTCTAATCTGATCAGGAACTAGAAGAAAATCAAATCCTTATATTATTATTGGATAATTAAATTATACTGTGTTCAATAAGTATAAACAAAAAAGAACTTATAATGGTGAGAAGTGTTCTAGTATTGTGGCTTCAAAGGTTTTTTTGCTCAACTCTTCTTAGTACAATGAGCTCTCGTTTGGAAACATGTTAATTTAGTAATTTTTTAGTTATTTGGCTAAAATATGACCTAAAAAAACTAGTATGTTTGGGACGACTTTTTGATTTTTTACGAAAAGATGTGCAAAAAGTAAGAAGAAAATAAAATATTTGACTTTTTGATATGAATAATTAACTTTTTGATTTTTTTAATAATTTTTTAACTTTTTAACTAAAAAAATCACTTGGCAAATGAGTGTAATTTGTGGATATGGACCAGTTGACGGTTGACCCTCAACTCTTCTCCCCTTAATGAGTTTGTAATTTTTGGACATGAACCCAGTCAATTCAATTTTCAAAATGTTAGTCTATATATATGAATATATATATTTTTCTCATAAATTCACCATGTAAGAGAGAATTATTTAGGTACTACCTGATCATGTCACCAATTAAATAATCAAACTTTGCCTTGTTTGACATGTTGGGTTAGAGCATCTCTAATAGAGCTTTTAAAACACTTGTCAAAATTATAATTTAGTAATAGTGATAAAAAGTGAGTTTTTAATGACTTGCTATTTTACTTGTCAAAGATGACATATGTCATATCTGTTCTTAAATTTGGCTAGTAAAATAGTAATTGCCAAACATGCCACATCAGCAAATATGAACATATTTGTAGCTCCAAATTCAGTTAAAAAAACAGAATTGAAACAGTAGAAAACCAAGTTATTTTTCAAATTTAATTTTTCAATTTTTTTTTCATTTTTTATATTTGTCTAGTCGGGAATAATATAAATATATAATTTTTTTTAACAAATAGTTAAAAAAAGTTCATAAAAGACAAAAAATAAACAAAAATAAAATCACAAAAAAACCTATATCCAAACAACACCTACAAACTTGGAGGAAAAGTTGGTTGAGAATTGCCAAAATAACAAGTGACCATTGGAGCACCATTGCTATAATTTGGCAAAATAGCACTATTTATTGCCAAATTATAGCAACAACAATGGTATTATAGCAACAACTATTGGAGATTGGGTTAGGAGGGTTTTTTTTTGACTAAAATAGTCATAAAAAAAAAAGTTAAAAAATTAAAGAAGATAAAATGTCACATTCAAACTATAAAAATCAAAAAATTCAAAAAAATCAGACCCAAACGAAATTTTTAACACTAAGCAAAATAGCCAAAAAGACAAAAAAAAAACTAAAAGATCAATCAACTTCTCAAACGAAGCCTTTTTATTGTTCTGTCAATCATCAATATAAATTAGTAAGTTCCATTATTTTGATTAGAATATCTCATGTCCCAAAGAAACTGGTTGTAATATTCTCTATTTTAAAATTATAATCTAATTATTTTACAAACGTTAGATAATGTAATGGAGATTTTCTATTATAATCGCATAATAAAGAGATCACACGTGGACAAAATAAGCGGCCAGCTAGAGGAAGTCTTCATCTAATGCCTCTGTAGCTCCACTAGTAAACATTGATGATTTGTTTTCCTTGTCTCTGTGCCTCTGTAATTCAATAGAAGCTTTGGTCTATCCTTTGTGATCAAGCTAGCCCTAAACTTTGCGTGAAACTAAAAAGGTTAATTACCGTCCCGTTTCTTTCAGGTGCTTACTGAAAGATAGATATTATCAAAACCCAGCTTAATTGGGTGAGAGTTGTCGTGTTTTAAAATTTGGAGAATTAAATATTCAATTAATATTTTATCATTCAAATTTTAGGAGTGAAATAAATTCTAAACGTTTTCGTTTTCAAAAGGTTTAAATAAATCTTCATACTCAAAAGATTATAAGGAATTAAAAAAAAACTAACAAAACGCCAACTAAACCATCCACCATAAATTTCATAACTATTCAATACTTCCAACATTAAAGTAACAATAACTAATCAAAACAACTTAAATAATACAAAGTTGAAAAAATAACCTGCAATGTCAAATTGTCAAAAATACTAAGGTCATAAAAAATAATAAATACATAAACTAGTATCAATCCTAAACTCAAGAAAATCATAAGAAGTCCAAAAGACATGTCCTACGATCATAGTTGTTTCTTATCATCACTATAGTTCCAATTAATCCTGCAAAGGAAGCTCGGCTGCCCTCAAATAGAACGTATCCGAGATGCCAAGAGACAAAACGAGTTAGTATATAAGTATACTGGTGAGAGGGGAGATTTGCACCTGACAGTACAGCCGAGCTACGGTAACGCGGGGATTGGCAAACTTCGCGGTGGCGAGCTGTTCTCTCGATTGGCGTGGCCTCTCGGCCCGTCGTGCACTGTCGAGTTAGATTGGTCGGTCAGACATGGGATAAGATCTGGGCGCGCTAGGATCTGTTAAACATTCGGCTGGGCGCGCGGTGGTGTGAAGCAACCGAGCTAAGGGCAGCCCGGGCATGACCAAGGACAAGCGAGGGCCGGCATGCCCCCGATCGGTTAGCCGAGATGGCTGGACTTCATGCGACCTAGAACGATGGTAGAGCGAGGAAAGGCCGGCATGCTCCACGACCGGTCTGTCAGGATGGACCGTTCACGAGTAGCTCGGCCATGAGAATCAGACTTTCGCTTCTTCCGACAGGTCGGCGAGACACAGCTCGGTTGTGTTGCTTGTGGCAGTAATTCTCCACGAGGGATAGGCCGGTCGTGGTACTCCGGTTAAGTGCGCCACCTGGGCCAATGGCATGAGGGAGAGGAAATCTGCTCCAGGCACGCGTCAATACCGTTGAGCAGTTCTGCGTGTACTGGTTGGAAGACTAGGCCTTTATACGCGTAAGGTGGTGAGAGGCGAGCACTGCCACTTGTCCAAGAAAGGACAACAAAGGTAGTGCGCGCACAATCCTGAGGCTACATGGCCAGCCTAGAAATAGGAACGGAAGATGAACGTTAGAGGTATGCAACTTCATGCCATCGAAAACACACACACTCTCTCTAACAGCCTTCTTCTCCCTCAAGTGATCTGACTTGATCGTCGGAGGGTCTATCCGGCAAACCACCGCCGGGTAGCTCACCGTTTCTGTGTTGCCAGGTTAGACGCCGTCACGGGAAGCTTGAATCCAAGGAGTACGGAAAGCAGAGGATATTTCGCCCCCGTACAATTGGCGCCGTCTGTAGGAAGTCTTTGATACTCAAACCTTGCTCTTCAAGCTCCTTCAACCATTTCCATGGCCAACAACGATGAAGCCCCGCAGTCCGTCGTCGATGGCATCACACTAGAGTATGTCCGACGGAGAGAAGGCCCCCCGAATGTTCCAGCTATGGTGGGCCTAGAAACTTCTTCGCGAGGTGCGCGAGACAAGCGCGGAAGGAGTACCGATCGCTCGAAGAGTCCAAAAGGCCATCGGCGGTGGGGGGAGTCCCATGCGCAACGCCTGGAGCACCAACTCAAGGACCAAGACGCCCACATTCGAAAGATGGCGGCTGAAATGGAGATACTGAAACGCTAGATTAAGGGGAAGGGTGTTGCTGGAGAGGGCAACCTCAGTGAGCGCACCCCGTCTCCTCGTTCTAGCAGTCACCGCTAGGAAAGAATGCACTCCCTTTCTATCACCAGAAACTACGGAGTTGGAGACTCTGAACCAAGGGAGAGCAGATCCCTCACTCGCGACAACACTTACCGTCCCTCGTGCCCGTCAACAATGTCGCGGTACTCTTTTTCCACCCGTTCCGGAGACTTGAGGGATGTGTTGGAAGAGAGGGCGCGCCGGAGGGAAACCCAGAGGTTGCCGGTGTTGCAGAGGTTGAGCACCCAAGTCCATTGTAGCGAAGAGGTGGTAATGCCAGCACCTAGGGTGGTGGCCCCTGCGCTAGCGGACAAAGAGCTGGCAAGACTTACCGCCACGCTACTGTCCCCAGAAATCGAGAGTACACCACTCCCTGTCGGATTTCACCAGCCTAAGTTTACCTTGTATGACGGCAAGACGGATCCGTACATGCACGTGAGTCATTACCGGCAAGTAATGGCTGGCCACCGGCGCAATGACGCCCTGATGTGCCTCATATTCCCAGCAAGCTTGGGAGAACTGGGCCTGAAATGGTTCGAAAGGCTTCCAGAGGGGAGTATTGAGGGATGACAGCAACTAGCGGAAGCCTTCGTCACCAGATTCAAAACCAACACTCGAACACCGAAGGAAGTCGACCATCTCCTAGGCGTCAAGATGGAATTTGGAGGTTCATTGAAGGCATACAACGCGAGGTACTGGGAAACCTACAACGAAATCCTCGACTGCCCTACCAATCTGGCGATCACTCAATACAAGAGGGGTCTTCCAGTCGGACATAGATTGCGAGACTCACTCACGATGCATCAGCCTATAACCATGGAGTCTTTGATGCAGCGGATCAATGAGCACATTCGTGTGAAGGATGATGCCGCCTCTGCGACCGAGAAAGCTAATCCGGTCGCGACCGACAGAAAGGTCGCGGAGAAGGTTCACTCGGTCGGGCAGGAGGATAACCGCCCAAACGACCGGTCAAAAGATCAACGTTGTGGTTCAAACCGTGACGATAGAAACAAAGGTCGCAGAAACGATCGGGCTGACGCTCCCCGCGATGCAGAGAAGGATGCCAAGAGAAAGTTGAAGGCACGAACCGGAATCACCATGGTCTTCAAAATCCCTATCTACTGCATCTTGAGTGAGATCCGAGGAGAGCCTTTTGTCCGCTGGCCGGCCAAGTTGGGGAGTGCACAAAGAGGCTTCAACTCAAGATTTCGATGCACCTTCCATGAAGAACGGGAGCACTGAACAGAGGACTGCTTGCCACTCAAACAACACTTTGAGGAGTTGGTGGCGGCGGGGCATCTTGACCAGTACATAGATGGGGGCATGAAAGCTGCCCCGCAGGGACAGACTGAGCCAAACGGCCTGGCTGCCCTTGAGGCAGCGCCCCAAGGCGTGATCAATGTCATCTATGGCATCGTTGAACCAGCCAGGGTCTGCGAGCTAAGAGGGATGATTAAGAAAGCCAAGCACATGAGGGAAGTGCTCTCCGTTCAGCCCGCTGTGAAGAAAGGAAAGACTGAAGAGAAGGACATCCTTACCTTTTCGAGCAGGGATTTGGAGCGGATCCAGATGCCCCACAATGATGCCCTAGTGGTAACTCTTCGCGTCAAAGACTTTGACATCAAACGGATCTTGATCAACCAGGGGAGTTCGGTCAAAATCATGTATTATGACGTGTTCAAACGAATTAAGTTAGATGACAAGGACTTGGCCCCTGCGACGACTCCGTTGGTTGGGTTCAACTCTCAGCCGGAATGGCCAGTAGGGAAGATCATATTGCCGGTCAAAGCGGGTTCAGTCATAAAGCAAGTGGAGTTCTGGGTGCTCAAAGTCCCATCCACCTACAACTTGATTTTGGGCAGGGGATGATTGCACGCCATGCAAGCAGTAGCGTCGACTTATCATCAGGTTTTGCACTTCCCGGCGTCAACCGGACAAATAGAGGAAGTTTAGGGAGATCAGGTAATGGAAAAACAATGCTTCGTTGCGGTAAATAGCAGCCGAGCAGCCAAAGGGTTTGTCCAAATGATTGAGGAACCCGAGGGAAAGGAGGTCCTTGAAGACGTAGGAAGAAAGGCCGAGGAAAAATCGGTCGAGGATTTGGTGAAAGTGCGCATCGACGAGAACGACCCAACTAAGTTCTTCTTCTTGGGATCGTCTTTATCTAGCACCGAGCGGTTAGATTATGTCAACTTCTTGGCTTCCAATTTAAAGGCTTTTGCGTGGACTCCTTACGACATGCCTGGCGTCGACCCCAGCTTTATTTGCTACCAATTGAATGTCTTCCCTGATGCGCGGCCGGTCATTCAGAGGACTCGCTGCTCGGCTCTGCACCATGCCGAGGTAGTGACAGAAGAGGTCAAAAATTTGTTAGAAGCAGGGGCGATAGAAGAAGTGCAATACCCTCGATGGATATCCAACACGGTAGTTGTTTTGAAAAATAATGGCAAATGGCGAGTCTGCGTTGACTACAAGACAGTCAATCGTGCATGCCCAAAGGATAGCTTCCCCCTCCCTCGAATTGACCAGCTGGTGGACTTGGCCGCTGGTCATCAGAGGTTTAGCTTCCTGGATGCGTATTGTGGCTACCACCAGATAGCCATGTATGAATCGGACCCAGAGATCACATCGTTCACTACCCCTAGAGGCTTGTATTGTTATAAAGTCATGTCGTTCGGGCTAAAGAACGCCGGGGCAACTTTTCAGAGGATGGTAACAAAGATGTTCGCTCCCCTTTTAGGCCGCACCATGGAGGCCTACATCGACGATATGGTGGTAAAAAGTAAGAAGAAGTCTCAACATCTCGCCGACCTAGCAAAGATGTTTGCTATACTTAAACGCCACAAGCTTCGTTTGAATGCCTCCAAGTGCCCTTTCGGAGTCGACACCGGGAAGTTCTTGGGCTTTTTGGTCACAAACCGAGGAATTGAAGTCGACCCATCCCAAATCAAGGCGATACAAGAGCTGGAGCGCCCGAACTCCACGAAGGACGTACAACATCTTGCCGGGATGACAGCCGCGCTGAACAGATTTATCAGCCGGTCTTCAGATCGTTGTAGGCCCTTCTTTAAAACTTTGAAGGCCAAGTTCTTCTGGGATGACGAATGTGACCGTGCACTGGCAGACTTAAAAGTGTACCTTTCCTCGGCCCCTATCTTGGTCACACCTCAGCCGGGCGAAGAGTTATATCTCTACTTGGCTGTCTCTCAACACGCGGTGAGCGCGGTATTAGTTCGTGCTGAAGGCATCCAGCACGTACCAATCTTCTATGTAAGCAAGACCTTGCTCCCTGCTGAATCAAGATATCTGCCGCTAGAAAAATTAGCCCTGGCCCTGATGATGGCTTTGAGAAAGCTGACGCACTATTTCCATGCCCATACAATAGTTGTGCTAACCGAGTTTCCGCTTAAGGTACTCTTTGAAAAGGCGGACTTTACTGGGCGAATTTTGAAATGGGCTGTGGAATTGGGACAATACGACATCAAGTTTCGCCCGCGCACCGCAATCAAGGCTCAAGTTCTTGCAGACTTTGTGGTGGAATTTTCCCGTGGAATGCATCCAGTTTGCCCGGTTGATTTGGCTGGTGAGGATTTAGCACAGTCCATGGTTCAAGCAATGGAGACAAGTGTTGGCTCGCAAGTGGAAGAAGGGCGAAGGGCAACCAAACTAGTGAAGCCGAGTAACATATTGGAAGACGAACTCAACCAAGACAAGGGAAGAGACCAGAATGAGCCGACCAGAGACTTGGAATTGAGAAACTCCCAAAACCCCTCTAATTGCTGGAAGCTGTTCATTGGTGAGATGTGGAAGCTCTTCGTCGATGGGGCATCCAATTGACATGAGGCCGGGCTGGGTATCGTACTGACTTCACCGGACGGGCTGGTTATCGAGCAAGCAATTACGCTCGGCTTCCTAGCATCCAACAACGAGGCGGAGTACGAAGCCCTCCTTGCTGGACTAAAAAGCGCATTGAGAATGAAAACGTCAGCCTTTATGGTATTCAACGACTCCAAGTTGGTGGTCAATTAGGTCTCTGGGGAGTATGAGGTCAGGGATGAGCGAATGGCGAAGTATCAAGCACTGGTGCGTGCAGAGATCAAGAAGTTCATTGCCATAAGAATGGAACAGATCAAGCGCGAAGAAAACAACATAGCTGATGAATTGGCCAGGCTTGTTTCTACATAGACAGCTTTTCCTAACCCCTTAATGATAGAATTTTTACCTCGGCCAAGCATTGAGGAACCAGAAATGCCCGAGGTATTCTGCGCCGACTTAGGACCTTCCTGGATGGACCCCATCATCACCTTCCTAAAAGATAGAGTTTTTCCTGAAGAAAAGAAGGCGGCCAACAAAATCCGGGCTAAGTCGGAGCGATTTTGGCTCTCGCCGTCCGGAACCTTATACAAGAAGTCTTTTACCAGGCCGTTCCTAAAGTGTGTCCATCCCACCAAAGTGGAAGCCTTCCTCTATGAGATCCATGAAGGCATCTGCGGGAGCCATACTGGGGGCAGATTTTTGGCTTACCGAGCAATCTCCCAAGGCTACTGGTGGCCATGCATGCAGGCGGATGCGCAGAAATACGTTCGTCGATGTGAAAAGTGTCAGAAGTTTGCTCACCAAATCCACCAGCCCGCTAGAGAGTTGCTCCCCCTCACAAGTCCCTGGCCGTTTGCACTCTGGGGATTAGATATTGTTGGACCGCTCCCAGCAGCTTCGGGCAATCGCAAATTCTTCATCGCCGCGACCGATTATTTCACCAAGTGGGTTGAGGCTGAGCCATTGGCAACCATAAATGAAAAAGATGTGAAGAACTTTGTTTGGCAAAATGTCATCACTTGCTTCGGCATACCTAAGGCCCTCATCTCAGATAATGGCACTCAATTCGATGGGAAACTCTTTCGTGGATTTTGCGAAGAGTTAAAAATTGAGTTCTACAATTCAACGCCGTCCTATCCTCAGTCGAATGGTAAAGCAGAGGCCTCAAACAAGACCATCCTGGATGGGCTGAAGAAGCGGCTTGAAAAAGCCAAAGGTAAGTGTGTTGAAGAACTCCCTAATGTGCTATGGACATACCGCACTACGCTAAGGCGGTCGACTGGAGAGACACCATTCGCCTTGGCCTATGGCATGGAAGTCGTTATCCCGCTGGAAATTGGTATGCCAACCATCTGGTCTGAGATCTTCTAGCCAGATTTGAACAATGAAGCAGTGGCATTGGAGCTTGACCTAGCCGAGGAAAGAAGGGAACGGGCTCTGATCCACATAGCGGCTTATCAGCAAGAACTCTCAAGGAAATACAACAAGGCTGTGCACCCCAGACTGTTCAAAATCGGGGACTGGGTCTTAAGGAAAGTGATGGGCAACACGGTGGTCCCTGGTGAAGGAAAACTTGGTGCAAATTGGGAAGGACCATACAAGGTGACTGGCCTTGCAAGCAAAAGGGCATACCATCTGGAGGACTTAGACGGTAAAGCTATCCCCAGGCCATGGAATGCAGCCAACCTTAAGATTTTCTACTTTTAAAATGTACTTGTTTTTGTTGCTTCTAGACCTTTAGCCTTTTGGCACTTGATGTAAAAGATAGCACTACTTTTTGTAATGAAAAATAGCCCTATTGTTCTTTTGGATTATATCTTGCTGTACGAATGACATGGCAAGGATACTGGGCCACTATGGAGGCCAGGGGCAAGGAGACCAACCCGCACCGGGCAGAACTAATTTCCCCTGGCCGGTATAGAAACAGACCGCACAAACAGTTGGTGAATTGTCCAATCGGCGTAGGGGCCAAGTTGATTTTTGCTCGTCCAATTGAAATATTGGTGTTTTGTCCAATGTAAAGGCCGAGCTGATTTTGCTCGGCCAAAATGAAATGTTGGTATTTTGTCCAACTGATAAGAGCCAAGCTGATTTTGCTCGGCCAAGTGATCCGTTGGTGCCTTGTCCAACTTACAAAAAGCCAAGCTGACTTTGCTCGGACAAAAGAAGTGTTGGCGTTATATCCAACTCAGAAGGCCGAGCTGATTTGGGTCGGCCACATTGAAACATTGGTGTTTTGCCCAATTTAGAGGCTGAGCAGGTCTTGCTCGGCCAAAATGAAATGTTGGTGATTTGTCCAACTTCCTTTAGGGCCGAGCTGATCTTTACCCACCCAAATACAAGACTTGAAGTGATGTCGAAGCCAGAGCAGCCAAGGTGATTTTTGCTCTGCCAGAATGAAATGTTTGGGCATTTTCGAAACTACAAAGACCGAGCTGATTTATGCTCGCTTTACTCTAAATGTTCGCGCTTTGCCCAATTTAAGGCTGAGCTGACTTCGCTCGGCCGAATGAGAATGTCTGGGTTCATTCGAAGAATCAAAGAACCGAGCTTCCAGTTATGATTCGCGAACATTTGAGTTGATGAAATTCTAATTTTAGCTTGGCATATTGCACGGCATGGCCGACCTACTAGTCGTGATGCATTAAAATTTGAATGAAGAAATTTTGCACGTGTCAACCTAACAGAAATAGAAGATCAGCGAGCAAAACAGTTCGAATTTCATTGACCAAGGAAATTGCATTACAACTGTGGGGCATAGCCCGGTTACATTCCAAAAAGGCAAAGAAGCAAAAACAAAGCAGAAAATTGAAGGGAACATCATTAATCTAACTCAAGGTCAACCGTCTGCTCGGCGACCTCAACCGTTTATTCGAGCAACCCATCCACGGCCTCGTCGTCAGCGCTTTCCACCGTGACGACCTCCCGATCAGCCACTTGATCTTCGACATCTTGAGATGCTTCGGGAGAAGTTTGCTCGATTTGTTGCGCGGCGGCGGCTTCTTCCTCGGTCGCTTTCCTTGCCTCTTCGATGAGCCAGTTTTGAGCAGCAT